CCTCTTTGGACTAATTTGCGGTCAAAATCGCGCAAAGTTTGAAAAATTCCCTAAGATTCCTTGAAGATGGTCGAAAAGCAAAACTTTCGCTCTTAATGAAACATACTTTGGTCGCTTCAGTCTGAAACCTTGCAAGTTGCCATCTTTGTTTGTTTGGTTAAAATTATTTTCTCAAAACTCGCTTCCTAAAATCAAGATTGAAAGTTTGAAAATTCACAGCAAAATCTCTGATGAAGAAATKGATTCGAAACYTCCACAGATATATCAAGCAAGTTTTTCCCTATTTTGAAAAGAGCTAAGGAATCCGTGTCCCCWATTGGWTTAGGAGAAATATGAAAAAAATCCCCGCKGATTGTCTGCTCTGAAGTGATTTTCAATCAAAATCCCCCAAAGTTTGACAAATTCCCCAAAATTCTCTGAGCATGGTGCAAAAGTGAAACTTTCGCTCAAAATAGAGCGAAAAATTCAAAACCTTCACTCGTGTATCAACAACGTTTTCTCTATTTTGAGGAAAAGCGCTAAAAAATCCCTGTTTCCAGTCGGCCTCGGAGAAATATGAGAAAAAGCGTTGCGGGTTATCCAACTCTGAATTAATTTCCCAATAAAATCGCCCAAACTTTGAAAAATTATCTAAAATTCCCTGAAGATGGTCCAAAAACAAAATGATCACCCTTAATAAAACACACTTTGTTCGATCCTTTTGCCCTGGATCGGGATGGATGGATTTGGACAAAATATTTTTTTGACCCCCGCTCCCAAATTCAAGATTCAAAGTTTGAAAATTCATAGAAAAATCCCTGATGAAGCCAGAAATTCGAAACCTTGACGGCTGTATCAACCTAGCCTTCTCTTATCTTATCAACCCTGTATTTTGAGAAGAGTTACAAAATCCCGGCTCCCAATTGGTTTCCGAGCAATATGGAAAAAATCGTGTTCAAAATATTTTCTTCAAAGCACACTCAAAAACATTTTTTTATTTTGAGGATGAAATTGATTCTACGCCTTAAGAGATTTATCAAGGAGGTTTTCGTGCCAACAGAAAAATTTTGAATGTTCCTGCCCTGATTTAATTAGGCAAAATTTCCAATCTTTACCTAGAAACGGGAAGCTTTAAAAATGTCCCCGAAAATGCCTGTGGATGATGGAAATCCGAAACGTTTGTCATGGGCAAAACACACTTTGCTCTATTTAGGGCGCAGCTTTGCAAGCCTTTACCTTCTGTGGATTTCAAGATGTAATTTTTGCCAACTTCTGTTTTGAGTTTAAAGTTTTGCCGTAACCAAGTTCATCCTTGGCTTAGAAATCTCAAACTCCTTCCGACCGTGCCTTTTCGCAAGTTCAAGTTGGTTGCACTTCAGAAATCTACTTTTTTTTGGCACAATTCGTGATTTTTTGGGGAAAAAAATAAGTTTCCGGCCTGGAATCGCAATCCGATCCGCTTTGATCGTCCGCTCTTCAGCAGCGGTGCGACCAGCTGGCGTGGATGTCGCACCCCCATGCAACGCAGGTTCGGTTTCCCCCCACCCACGTGGAGGCTCTCCAATCCCCATAAAAGTCACCCAAAATGACCCCAGACTCACATTCATATCACGACCGTAAGAGGTTGAAGGCGCTTCACGGCCGTTAGACCAGATAAATTCTCACAATTTCCTTCCAAACACTATCGACAGACGTGGTTTCACAGCCATTGTGGTCGAATTGGAAACCAGCTGAATTTTTGGGTCGACAGTGAGTGCATTTTCGAGTGATTTTTTGCGTTGAGGATAAAACGATGGCCGCCGTCGCTGCTGCTCAGAAAAACCGAGAAATGTTCGCCATCAAGAAGAGCTACAGTGTTGAGGTAAGCGGCACCAGTTTTTCATTGTTTCTGCCCAATTTGCGTTTCAATCAATAATACTGATTTTTCATCCGTTCACTTTCGTGCCTGTTTGGTGGATTTTCATTCCAAGTCGTTTCTAGGCCAGAGAAATTTCGGGCAAATATTCAAAAAAATCTTCAAATCGCCTTAGGAATGAGAAAGTTTAAGCTGGGTTTACAAGTTTTCCTTACTGCTTTAAACACAATTCTTTGCAGATGGTTAACATTGACAAACTTGATCCATTCGTTCATCTTTATTCTGTTGGTTTTGCTCAGCTTTGCAGGATTTTCATTGTATTTCTCAACCTGGCAAGTTTGTTCAAATTTATTGCGATGTTCAAATCGTGGACGTCTTGGAGGAAACTCATTTTCAAAAATGAGAAATTCTCCGGRAATYATTTATGGGCTGYTTATGACATTAATTTCCAGCCRAAACTGCAATTTGTTTCCAAAAWTTCTTTCTCARAAATTTGGTGGGAAATTGAAACTTTCTGTATGAATAAAAACACTATTGTGATTGCTTCCAAGTCAAACGTTMACGAAAAATAATTTTYCTGTTTAAAATTTCCTGCAAAACTCTTGATAATGAAGCGACTCGAAAAGCTTAGACAGAAGTCCAGAAGTATGGCCGCAAAAACTGTCCAAAACCCCTTGAGGATGGCGAAAAATTGACCTTTTTGCACCACATTCAGATTTTGTCCCAGTTTTTCCTGGAATATTGCAAATTTTTGCAAAAGTCTCCGAGGCCGGTGATCAAATCGAAACCAGGCGCAATTTCTGGTATTGAAGGCGGAATTTTGGCTTTTTCTGCACACGCTAAAATGTTTTGCATATTTGCCCAAAACTCGGTTTAAAATTGTTGACTAAAATCTCGGATTCTGTCGCGTTCGCGTTGATTTGCGACAAAGACTGGTTCAATTTGCAAACGATTTTCCAAATCTCTGGGGATGGTGACATATCGAAACTTTTGCTCAAATCAGCGAAAATTTTCCTCTATTAGGCTCAAATGGAAGTCGTTTCAACAAACTTCCCAAAACTGGTCTGGAAGCAAAATTGAAACTGACTTGTTTTAAGTGCGATTTGCCCAACGTGTTACGGTTTTTTATGGAAAAAATTAAACCCCAACGCCATTAACAAGACAAAAAATGCGTAAAAGAATGGCCTGGAAGCCAGACACAAAACTGCTAGTCTTTTGATCCTACTGACTTCGCCAACTTACAGCGCCGCAACGGGAAGCTCGTTATATGGCGGAAACGGCGCTCTTTCGTTGCGGAAGCTGCACTTGACAACTCCTGCTGCTGTTCTGAGCTCCAGCCATTCCTTAACCTTCCGGAAGGCGATTTTTCAGCCTCAAATTAGCGTAACTGTTGGCAAATTAGGGCATAATCAGCGTTGACTAACGCGCGTTTTCCTGCATATGCAAAACAAACGAATGCCTTTATAAGGGGGGGCTTGGCCACCTGCTGGTTGACCTTGATCGAGGGTAAGAGGAAGTCGATCTTCGGGCAAGGTTGCAAAGTGACTGGATTTCGTTACGAATCGCACGTTCCACCAACTACCAACGTGAAAATCTTCAAGGAAAATGCACAAAACTTCCGAAAATCATGAACGTCCAACTGATTGCCACTGTTTCCTTCACAGAACGGATATCCAGCCAGGCGTAGATCACTAGTTGATGATGCCCGGTTCGAAACGTTGGTCGTGAAGCAAACCAAGCAAACGGTCCTGGATGAAGCACGACTTCGCGCTAATGGTAAGTCTGTGCGCTTTTTTGTCTGTGAATTTGTTTTGCGTTGTTTTTGCATGGTTTGGCATGATTTTATTTTTGGGTTATTCTGTAGACTCTAGCGTAGATCCAGACAGTGAGGACGAACAATGCAACCAGCCAGAAGAGCCAACCAACAAGGACGGTAAGTCGATTGGTTTTTGTTTAGTTTTTTGCATGTTTTGTTTTACCACGGTTTAGATCGGGATTTTCTGGTTTCAAATGTTAAAGTCGCAAATGGGAAATTTCTACAGGACTTTTCACAACCACGCCCGATTTCTCGGATTTTTTCAATAGAAGATTTCGGTCGCGTTTCTAAAACTTACAATCGGTTTAATATAACTTTCTTTAATTGGAAAAATAATGCAACTCACTAATCAAGGGTGAGGTTGCCTCCAAATGGGAGGGGATGAAACCCGGAGGATTTTCTCAGTAAATAGTGAAAATCCCCCGTTATCTGGCCGGAAACTTGGATTTTTGGCGCACTTATCCTGCAAAGCGCCATAAAAATTATGTTCAACAGACTCTAGTTGGGTGCAATTTGGACTTTTTGCGCCCCAATGGACAACGGAAAGTGGGAATGGTTGAGGCGCCTTAAAAGAAAGTGGCTGGTAATTCGCAAAGTCAATTTTTGCCATCCATTTGAGTGGAAAGGGAAGCGCTTTTCCACGAGCGGCTAAAGGGAAATTCACATTTTCCGAAAGCCACGGGCATAATTTGCGGACTTTCCCGCTAAACCGATGAATGATTGTGACAGATTATGTTGTGCAGGAATGATTTATTTTAACGCCGGCTTGAGTGTTGAAACATGTTCTGCTGCTCTTTTATTTTATCGGCCCATCTGGGCGATTTATCTGGAAGTCAGGCCGGCTTGATGCTGATGATCCAGTGGTTTTTCGCCTTGGAGAATTTCCTTCGGCCCGATTGGGAAACGAATTAATTAATTAACGGGCGATTTAATTGGCGCACACGTTCAATGCCAGAAATTTGAATATCCATGCGTAATAACCTAAAAACGGTGGCAAAAAATTCGTTGAAGGTTTGCCACAAATCAGCGTATCGTGCAAGAAATCGCATTCTTCAATGGCAAACCAGCACAAGTGCTGGTTTGCCATAGGATTTATACAGGGTTATTTACGCTATACATACACAGACGCCTGCACGTTTAAAAAATATTTTTGTAATGTACAGAGTGTCCCAAAAGCCTTAAAAGTATCAAAGTTGATAAGCCAATAAACAGTTTTTTTATTCGAATGAATCAAAAAGTGCCATTTTGCGAACAGAAGCGATGATCAAGAAGAAGCACTTTTCTTTAGCGTTCATTTGTTTTACTTTTACGCACGGACTTTGCCGCACAGTGTGCGACAAAGTAAATGTGACACTTTGAACTTGCCACTGTCATTATATATTTTTTAGTATTTTTATTTAAAAATAACCGAAATGCTTTTTTAAGGAATTACGTTTATCAACAACTATTGATCCTATTTTCAAGTTTACTTATAATTTGTAAATTATACCTTTGTTACAAGCTCAGTCTTATAATCATTTTAATGGCCTACTTATCTACTTTTGCGATGTTGTCACACGTAAAACACCACCTTTTTAAGAAGGGCAAATGTCATGCAGAGTATGCAACATGCATACACCATCCCAAGACCACAGGTGTTTCAAGTTGAAAAAGTACTTAAACTTAATTA